GTGCCCAGCAGCTGCCACTGAGCTCAACAGAAAGTTAGCATGTCAGGAAGAGAGCCCACATGACCAGATCTCACAAAGTTTCAAAAATCTGATATTTTTGGTACAAGAAATTCCTGAGTAATAAATGTTTAAAACTAAATTCACTTTTAAAAACATGAAATCAAATGCCATTGGGCAGTGAAACAAACTGACACCATATCTGTGGGGTTTTGCTTGTAATCAGTCTTACAAAGGGTGTGGGCTAGGAACCCAGTGTGGCACATTAAGGAAAAGCTAGTAGGAGCCACACCTTAGCATATATAGCAGATACTCATGACAATGGCGGATGACTGAGGGGATGGAAAGAGACTAAGCCCTGGCCTTCCTATAAGTGATTTCGTTTCTCCTCCCCACAGTTGTATTGGTCTAGGGCCACAGGAAAAAAACATAACAGGAATCTAACAGCTCTAAGGGAGCAATCAACTTATAACTGTGTGAAGCACAGATTCCTCTGCAGGAAACAAATCACAGAATTTGCAAATGTGTAAATACTGCAAGTTTTCTTTGAAGACCAAATGCCTTAGATGTGTGTGTGTGTGTGTGTGTGTGTGTGTGTGCATGAGAGAGCAAGACAGAGATAGAGAGAGAGACAGAAAGAGAGAGACAGAGAGAGAAACAGATAGACAGAGACAGAGAGACAGAGATCACAAACCAGGAATAGGATATTGAAGATGTCTTTAGTAGTTGATTCTCACTACTGAATCTTTACTTAGCAATCACATAGGAGATAATAGGTTAATGGGATGAGAGTCTCTAGATAAGTCCAAAATTCACTTTCAAGAGAGCTTAACATAAAACATTTCCCTCAGCACTCCCTACATACCTAATTTGTGTCAAGAGCGTTACTTCTATCAGAGTAGCCCCAAGCAATAATCATGTTCAATCCAAATAAGGAATTATGACAAACAGACTTGGACCCAATCTTTCTTCTCCACAGCATTGGTTTTTATGGGCCATTCTATTCACAAATATTTACTAGAATTCTTTTATAAGATCTCATCACTGTTATTAAAGATGAAACAGGCCTGCCCTGAAAGAATGCTTGAAAGTAAGAATGCAAACTCATTCCTCTTTAGGATTTTCTAAGCCCTTTGCTGTGAGCCCAGTTAAGATTTAGGGATTTCATGGGACCTTATCTGTGCCCTTCAGAGGTTCAAAGTCTGATGAGAAAACATTTTGCATACTTCCATGGAGAGCTTAATGATAAAGAAGAGGCCTAGAGGGGCACCACGGATGCTTGGACAAGCGTTTGAGTCCATCAGGAAATCTTTCAACAGAAGAAGAGCAATGACTCTGCAGTAGAGGGAGGGTATTCAAGGTAGAGATGTAATAATGATAGGGAAAATACTAATGGACCGACACGGAGACAATACATCAGATCTGTGTATTCAAATGGCTGCTCTCACTCTGTCTTTTTCAAACCTTTCCACCAAATAAGATCAACAAGTATTCAAGAGCCTTAAATGATATGAGAGATGTTACCAAAACCTATATATGAGGAAGTTTAGCACAGCATTACAACAGTCAGAAATAATGTAGAAAATTCAGCCAATGAGTAATGGCAAAGTAGGCATGAAGCACCCAAGTCCTATAACGTAATGCATAGCTTGTAAAAAAAATCCCACTTGGAAGAATATTTCAAAATCAGCAAAATGATTATGACATGTATTTCACACCATGTAAAAATCTTTAAGAAAATATCACTCTAAGTTTTTAGTGAAGTAGATAGGGAGCAGCAAGGTGGCTGAGTAGGTGAAGGCACTCACCCCAAGCCTTGTGTCCTGGCGTGGTCCCTGGACCACCCTGGCAGAAGGAAAGCACTGCTACCATTGCCTCTGATCTCCATGGCTTTGCGCTAGAAGCTGGATTCTACCAGGAGAGAAACCAAGTGTGATGGAAGCCATGGTATGAGGACCAAAAAGGCCAATTGCTGAGTGCTGAGAATGACTTGATTACACTGAGCACTCAGGAGGGGAGCATACATACACAGCATGGTTCAATATAGGAAATGTCACAAAACCCCCACACAACTGACCAACAAGCAAAGACCAGGCATGGCAGTGCATACCTTCAGTCCCAACGCTCAGGAAGCAGAGGAAGGCAGATCTCTGAGTTCGAGGTCAGCCTGGTTTACGCGGTGGGTTCCAGGATTACTAGGGCTGTGTAAAGAGACCCTGTCCTGAAAAACAAAAAATAAACAACAACAAAGTGAAAATGTCACAGTGCAGTACACGATTTATAGCAGAACAAATGGTAGTGAAGGCAAGACTGATATCCAAGTGGAGTGTGGGGGACCAAACCTCCTTTAGTCATCTTAGGTATGGGATGTTAGTTGTGCCGACGTGTGCTATTAGATAGGGGATGGTAGTTGTGCCAAAATGGTGAGTATTCTTGGGATTTATTTAGTAAAGAATGCAAAAGACCTTTTTGCAAAAGGGACATTTGCTGTTACACTGGAAAAAAGGAAAAGTTTATAAAATATTAGAAAACAATTTGAAGTAAAGTGTTATTTGAGGGAAATTCAATCTCTGCACAAACTTCAGTTCCTCCTTTAATTTCTCCTTTGTTTTAATATGTATACACAAGTTAGCTTTGTAAGAAAGACCACGGGACATGGTGGTGCAACCCTTCAGTCACAGCAATTGGGAGAAAAAGGCAGGTACCTGAATCTATGGGAGTTTGGGGCCAGCCTGGTCTACATAGTGAATTCCCAGATAGCAGGGGCTATAGAGTGGAACAGAGAGAGAGAGAGAGAGAGAGAGAGAGAGAGAGAGAGAGAGAGAGAGAGAGAGAGAGAGATCCAGCCAGGAGTATAGCCCAAGAAACTCAGCAAAATGGGAACACAAATCTTGTTGCTTATCAGGGCACAGATACTTTTCACATATGTGTCTCATTTTTCATAAAAACTATGCCTTGCTGACTTTCTGCCTAGATTTCTTGCTTCTCTGCAATGAAGGGCACGCAGTAATCTTTTCCTTCATTGAGTTTTCTTGCTTTGAAGGTTTCTTTAAAGTGAGTGTTTAGCATCTTACCCAAACCACTGCCGATCTACCCAGTATCAAGCCACTCTTAGCTAGCTAAACGGACCTTCGCACTTACCTAACCGTATCACCTAGACCTTTGGGGTTTCCAGTCTGTTTAAAGCCCATGCGGGCAGATTTCCATTCCCTTTGTTCTTTGTGTAGGCTTGTTTAAGGTGTAGGTCTCTAAAGGGGATGGAAGAGAGACAGATGTTGAGGATGGGAGAGATTGGCAGTTTGAACAGCCCAGTTTGGTCTAAAGGCTTTGTTATGCTAAACGTGAGAGCTCCTCCAAGTGCGCCTTCAGGATTTTGCACCGTACTACATTAAATCCCTAACGCTGGGAGTGTGTTAAATAAATAAAAACACAATAATAATAATAATACAAGAAACGTAAACCAGTGGGTCAGTTCTTGCAAATCATCTCCACAGATACATTCTGCAAACTGCAGGCCTCCACAAATCCTGACACACTTGAGACCTTTGGAAAAGGAGAAGCCGAGAATACAGATTAGCTTCTCCAGAGCAAAAACAGGTGATGTCATAGCACGCAGTGCGGTGTGGTCACTGCCAAGGCCGGCTGGGGAACTGCAGTTCCTGGGAGCCTGGTGCTCTGCGCCAGCGCCAGCGGCAGAAGCACCCTGTCGTGGGCCGGCGACACCGGTGAGCACCGGGCACCAATCAGGCGCTGGCTCAGCGCGGTCTTTGTTCTCACTGGGGAGCAGGCTGCGGGAGCACTGGCCCGCAATCCTCGGTCCACGCTTGGTTCCTCGGGGTACCTGGCTCCCTGGCTCGCCTGCATTGGGCATCCCACCAGCAGAGCTTTCCGCGGTGGGTGACTTCTGTCTTCTGCCTCCAGAACACAGGAGCCAAACCTGACTCACTGTTGTCAGCTTTGGGAGGGGAAGGTCCAGCCCAGTCGTTTTAAATGGCAATTCGTACGAGAGAGAGAGAGAGAGAGAGAGGGAGAGAGAGAGAGGGAGAGAGAGAGAGAGAGAGAGAGAGAGAGAGAGAGAGAGAGAGAGAGAGAGAGAGAGAGAGAGAGAGAGAGAGAGAGAGAGAGAGAGAAACCTCTGACCTGTTCATGATATAAAGGAACTTTCTTTGCTGCGAGAATGATTGTCAGACAGAAGGAAGAACCCCTACACCAAAGAGGTGTCTCCGGGTCCCCAACTCCATCAGATTGTCTCGAACCCAGACCACTCTCCCTACAGCCTTAGGGAGCTAGCTGGTCTTTCGCACAAGTCTCGCAGAGAGAAGCATAAAGTTCTTTGAGACTTCTGAGTGCAAAGAGGTGCAAGACCGCAGTCTTCCTCATAGCTATTCTTAGATTTCGACCGAGAGAAAGCCGAACCTCTGCCCCAGAGGAAGGAACGTTCTAGCGTCCACCCTGCTCCCCCTCCCCCTCCCTCCCTCCTCCACCCCCGAGAGATCAGGAAACGTTTCGCTCGGTCTCAGATCCTCTAGCGAGCTCTAGCTTCCAGCTATTTAATCTCGCTCCATTCTGCTCCCCCCCCCCCCCCGCCCCGCCGACCTCGCCGAGGGGGCGTGGCTTGTCCCGAGGGTGGCGCTAGAGCCCCGGCTTCATTTGCATACACCACGCCCTCCGCCTCTCATTGGCCGGCTTGGAGTCCCTCCTCCCCCGCCCCCCCACTACCTAACTAACCCGCGGTCACCCTTCAGCCCTGAGCCTCGGAGATAAACTTAACTTGCCCGGAGATTCGAGGCGCTCTCGCCTCCCGCGATTGGCCGACGCCGCTCATTGGCTGCGGGGCGCGGGAGGGGCGTGTCCGGCAGGGTCTGATTGGCGGGAGGGGGCGGCTCCCTGCGCGGCAGCCCTGAAGGCGGCGGGCCGCGGGGGCGGGGCTGCAGTGAGGCGCTGAGGCCGCCGCGGCTGCTCGTCCTGGCTGGCGGGGCAGGGGGGGGGGGGGTCCTGGCGATGGGGGCGGGAGAAACAACGGGCCGGTGAGCGCCACGGCCGCGGTCCCCGCCGAGCTCGCGCGGGCAGCCAGCCGCTGCGCTGTAGCTGTAGCTGCCGCCCGACCCCCTGAGAAGAGGACGTTGAAGCAAGCGGCCCTCCGCTAGCAGCCGCGGTGACAACCCGGCGTCGGCGCGATGAACCGCGGTGGCAGCAGCGCCTCGGCCTCGGCCAACTACCTGCTCTGCACCAACTGCCGGAAAGTGCTGCGGAAGGTACGGCGCGGCCGCGTCCGGCGCCACGGCGCTCCCCGGGGTCGGGGTCCGGCCGGAGCTCAGGGGGGGGGCGAGACGCGAAGGGTCCTCCCGCGGGGTCCCCGCGCCCGGCCCGGGGCTGGCTGCCCGCTCTGCCCCGAGGCTGAAGGGATGCTGGGATGCTGGGAGGGACCGGCTCGGCCGGGGATGGAGGCTGGCCCGAAATCACTGCAGCCTGTCTGGTCTGCAGGAGCCTGGCTCCCGCTCCGCCGAGGCTGTTTTCTTTGACCGGGTCGCTGCTGCCTGCCAGGCCTACCGTGCCCGGGGCACCCCCTCTTGACATTCTCTGTGGGTCCCGAAAGGCACCGTGAAGGCATCTTGAACTTTATGCCCCTGGGAAACGCTGTTGGATGTTCCAGTGCCTTCGGCTGGGGTTGGTGGACGTGGGTTCGCCCTCCTTATCATCCCCCCCCCACCGCGGTGTGGTTACAAAAAAAAAAAAATCCGACCCAGGATCGGCTTCTTGCTTTCCAGAATGACTGATAGAAAGTTTGCTCCAGTATTGTTTAGCTTACTTAGCTTAATCGCTTCGTGGGGGATGGGGATGAAGGGAGAGAAAGGGTGACAAAATGTCCCTGTGGGCGCAGAAGAGTTTTTTTTTTTTAACAGATCCGAACAGCCTCCTTGAATAATATAATCCGTTGCACCAAGTGAGATCATTAGGTGAGGTGCTTGTGTTTGTCCAGCACCAATGAATTAAAATTGCTGAGCTGTGCATATCTGAGAGCTAAGATGAATACAGCGCCGTTTTTGTCGATCTCACTATCTACAATCTACTTTAGGATTGTTCCTTATGTATTAAGAAAAACAAGCAAGCAAGCACATAAATAAGCAAGCTCAAATATTTGCGCTCTTTGTCCAAAAACTGTTTTTCTTCCTCTGTGGGTCAGGCCAAGTGCCAATCAAAGTTGTTTTTCAAGCCTCTTTTCCCTGCAGTGGAGCTGGGTTTTTTTTCCCCCCTCCTTTCTCCTATTTTATTTGAGAGAGTCAGGAAAGCAAAGGGATTGCAGGTTTGAAGTTAATCAAACAATTAAATACGCCTTAAATTGTGTTTATTGGATATGTTTCTCTTAAAACAGATTTTTATTAAATGTGCATGTTGAGTATGTGCAGTTATTTTTTCCCCATAAACTCCTGGATCAAATTACAGTTGATACTTGTTCGGCTCATTGTAGGGCAGCTTGAGAGAAATGGAATGGATCAGAAGCTTGGTTCAGCTCAGTTGAATGTTAACTCTTTCACTGCTGGGCCAGATGGCATCTGAATTTAGCTTCTAAAAAATAATGTTTCTTAATTTTAAAGCTGAAACTGTCTTTGTGAGAGAAAAACAATGCCACTGAGACCTGTTTCATTCAATTTACTTTCAGTTAAAATGAAAGGAAATCATACATTTTTTTTAACTGAATGTGGGGGAAGGTACTATAATTAACTTGCTTAAGTGGTACAATTCTGTTTCAGTCAAAGCACATTAAAACTTTAATAATTTTTTAAAGTTAATAGCAATTTGTTTGGCTAATAGGCGACTTGGACTAGACATTAGGCTTCACACCTTTTTCTTTTTTCTTTTGAAAGAGCTTTGATTATGGGCCCATAGCACTAGCACTAAGGGCATGTTTATGTGTTTCTCCTAGTTATTAAGGCACTGGTATTTCTGATTACCTGGGAAGACCACCCTCACTTCTAGCCATAGCTGGAAGAAAGAGAAGTTTCTGCAAACTGGCCATCCATATTCTCCTGTTTTGCAATTGCGATGCACACCTTTGCCAGAATCCAGTTTTCAGTAGCTACAAGGTGTTTGATTTTGACTCGTGTAGTAGCATGAAATGAGTTTAGATAGGAAAAGAATTGTTTGTGCCAGTTAAGGCATGACTTGGCAACGTTTGAAGCTTTTCAAGATTGCCATTCTTAAGGATTGTAGAAAGAAATCAGTCTCTAGTGCTAAATGCTTCATCATTCTAAAATTGCCACAATAAACATTTACTTCTGATAATGACGTGTTTGTTTCTGATAGATTATGTCTATGTAAAGGGAATCTACAGCTCTCACAGCCTGATTCTTTACATTTTCTTGTGTCCATTTAATGGGTGTACAGTAATAAACAAATGAGTTCCAGCACTTTGGGTTTTAATTGAGTGTCCATCATAGTGTAAAAATGGACATCATATACATCCATGTCAGTGACCCTTTGCTGTTAGAAGTGTCATTAATGGTGAGAAAAGGCCTTTACCTTTACATATGGCAGAAGGCTTTTTTTCTATCTGTGACTAACCTAATTTATGCAATATATACGATAGATTCTAAGGAAACTTCAAAAGGAACTGAATTAACCTTCAAAGGAAATAATTTGTTTTAACTCAGTCTGAACAGGGAATTGTATATTATATGAGAATCTCATTTATTCTTAGATGTATCTTCACAGTTTAGGTTCACTGTTTTGCAAAATAAAGGGGAATTGTTGATGTCTCTGATTTGGTAACGAGTGTCATTAAATATTTAAGTATGTGTTCAATTATTTTTAATGTAATTAAAAATATAGATACATGAAAAATGTACCCATAATTTTCACACATTTGAACCTATCATAATTACCTTGTTACAAGATGGTGATAATGATGATGATGTCGATGATGGTGATGATGGTGATGGTAGTGGTGGTTATATACATTAGACCTTTTTATTACATTACTGATTAGGAAGATTGTCATTGTTTGTGAAGACACTAGCCTTTATAAAAACATTCTTTCATATATGTATATATACATATATGTGCATATGTATATATATATATATTTATGTATATATACACTAATATCACATATTTGTTTCTGGGACCACAAACTTAGTAAAACAAATAATTATTAGTTTGTAGAAAAGTACTTATTTAAATTGTTGCTTTGTGTATTAAATATGTCATAGTTCAAGTTCAATATAAGATTTAATTTGTGAAATGGCTTCTGCTGCTTCCCATAATTTATAAGATGTTTACAGTTTGATCTTTGGCACTGGTCTTTCAGTTTGGGGTAAGTTAGCTAACTTTCTTGAAACCCAGTTTTTTTCCTGGGTTTCAACCTGTCTTGTGGTAGCTTTGTGCCTTGAAAGTGTATGTAAGCACTATGCAAACCCTCAAATGTCTCTATACAAGAATCAAAAGCTCAGTCTCTGTGTTTTCCTTTGTGTGTTAGGATTATAATCACTAATACACACTGAGTAATTTGTTTTGTAGTCACTTTTCATAGGAATTTTAATGATTGCTGGTAAAAGAGAGGCCATGATGATTTTTATTGAGAGTACCCCTTATGCATGTTTTTGGTTTCACATTTCCATTTGTATCCTCTCTTCACACACACCTTCCTTAAAGAGTGATATTAAATGCTTTTAACAAAGGAAATTTGTATTTGAAAAGACCATGTGTTAGAACTGGTGTACTCAGTAACAGAGAAGGTCTAGTAAAAGCAAGAGCATCTGGTTAGTCAGTTTAGGGAAGAGTTATGAAGCAGCAGTCTCCTAATCTTACCATCTGATTTTTCCTTTGAAGACAGTAACCTTGCTAGTTTATGGAGTCCTTTGCATCATCTCAGGGTTCTCTCAACATTGAGGTTTAGGTGGCAGTCTCTGCCACACAACTAATAAGAAGCACCCTTAAGCCAGCCAGCTGTGCAGAACTGTTTCTGGTGTCCCCAGCCGTGCAGAGGCTGCCAGGGAATATCTCCATTCCACACTCAGCCTCTGAGGAATGCTCCAAGGATACCTAGAACTGGGATGAGAAAAGTTAGCCTGTTTTACCTGGGTTGCGGATGCTAAAGGGGGAAGAGCAGCAGGGAGTCAGCTACACCTCTCAACTCTTGAATGCTTGTAGGCCTGTTACGCCTCACTCTGGGCCCTGGATTCTGGAAGTATGTCCAGGACATACTAGACACAGTCAACAACTGTTTTTGAGGCTACAACCTCAAAAGTGTTCTTATTTGTCTTCTTTTACTGTGTATAAAAGCAGTGTGGGCATAATTGTGCGACCCTTTAGCATAAATCAAGGAAGTGGCACCACTCAGCATTGGGGAAATGATCAGTTTCATTTAAGAATGTAGCTGAAGTAGCAGGAAGCATTATGTTTTGAATCTTCACCCTGGAGGATTCACCCTTTCACATGTGTGAGGCAGTGGGAAGGTGCACAGCACCTTTGTGTAGCATGTTACCTGTCTCATGTGTAAACACGTGCCACAGGTTAGTAGCCAGCTCAGTCAGCCAGTTTTCATGGAACCCATTTTACTCAGACAGACAGACTTTGCTTCTTCAGATTTGAGTACTTAAGAAAACACAATTTAAAATTAGCAAAAATTTGTAAAATTGTTTTTTTCCATTAAATTAGAAAGTTTCTCCTATGTCTTTGTTTGTTTTGTTTTTGAGACAGGCTCATTATATAGCCCTAACTGGCCTAAGTATGTAGACTAGGCTGACTTGGAACCCACAGAGATATCTACCTGCCTCTGCTTTCCTAGTCCTGGGATTAAAGGTGTGCACCACCATGCCTGGTACAAGCTTCTCAATTTTTGAAGTCTCTCCTTGTCAGGTGAAGGAGAGATATTATATTAATGGATGCGATTTTTTGATACCACATGTGTGCACCAATGTTTGGAAGATACACAGAACCCAATGAACCAGTTTGTGAAAACTGCTTCCCACCCCCCCACCCCCTACTGCTTTTCAGCTAAGATCCAAATTGTTACATCACAGTAGATATAACGTTTGGGTTTGCCTATTGATTGTCTTAACATTGACAACCAATTGTTAGTTATCTTCTTTGAATTTTCAGAATAGTGTTATTCATTTTTGAGGTATTTATCAAGATCACATAGAGATAAAATATTCAAAATGCAAGATGGACAGGTGAGTTTTAATGTAATACAAAATGTTAAGTTCATGTATTTGATTCAGAAGGTATATTTACAAGTTTTGATGTGATGTCA